AAGACGTTTACAGTAAGTCTTTCTACGACAGACCAACGGACCACGAGTGCCCCTGTCGGTCAACCAATCACGCACCGCGGTATTTTGCGTCATCGCGCGTCACAATGCACGACGCCGTAGCCAATTACCTCCGGTATGTGTCTGTACCGCGCACTTTGAATGGCTGCATCTGTATTTATGAAGGTGGAAGGTTGTGAACTTTTGTCCAACTGAGCAATCTTACTTTAAACATTAAAATGTCTGTATATTTTATAAAAGATTAACATGCTGTAATACACATTTTGAAATTATTAAAAATGTAAAGAGTATACAAATTAAATTCTTAATTGGAAAAAGACTGTCCCTCAGCAGTGACCAGGATTCAAAACCGGACGTTTTCTGGTGACAGCTTAAATGCTGTACATGAGACGTTAAGCTTTATTATCTCCACCTGGCAGTTTTACAAGGTGCTTCCGGATACTATCATATTTCAATTAACGTGGTAAAATGCGGTATGATCCGCCACACCCACCATTTTGAATGGCTGGATCTGTCAAGGATCATTTTCTTCTGATGCTCAATATCTTTTATGTAACACTTTCCACATATCTACTGTATATTAAATGTCCGTGCCAGATGTTTCACAAGCCTTAGACTCTGTCTAAGTCATTTTTAATTTCTACTTAGCTTTTACAATGTTTACTTATCCTTCTATTTTAGCATAATCTGCAAATTTGATATAGTATGCTAACTAGAGCTTAATCAAAATGATCAATGTGTTCATTGGTTTTGGAAGACTGAAAAATGATGATCAAAGTTCTTACCAGATGTCTAAATTCAGCAGCCAAACTTCCATTTGTAGACTCCTCCATGTTCATGACTTTTGTATTTGTCCCCAAAATGTTAAACTTTCGGAATCTTGCAAATAAAGGGGATTGTTATTATATGCAGAAATTATAGAAATCCAATAAATAAAAAAAAAAACATTTATTTTTAGCTTACCCTTTTAATGTACTTTTCTCAGTCACATCCCTATGGGAAAAAAAAAAATAAAGAAAACTTTTTATAATTTAATTATTAAATTTTATATACATTGTTAATACCTTGAACAATGGTCAAACATTGGATCCCTAAGTTCATGTTTCATCTTATAACATCAACTGGTTGTTATGCTAGGGAGGATCAGAGCTCCTAGTCCTCGGTTTCCACAGGGACCAATCCCATTCACGCAAGGAGCTTGACTCTGCCTGATGCCACCCAGAGCCAAATGGCAAGCTCTCTAAACCATAAGCCACCAATTGATGATCAATCAACCAGGTATTAAATCCCTGTTTGATACTGCCCCGGTGCTCTGCTCTCACACCAAAAGTACAGTTTTGCATATGAAATCAGCTTATTCTGTTGTCTGCATTAACCATGCCTGTTCCAGCCTGAGACTATTCCCTTGTCAGTCAGTTCCCGATTTTCTCTGTTGGCCCTTCATCTATCACTGTGGCCAGCTAACCTTTCCATTCCCTGCACCGTACCCGCAAGACTCCTTTTCTTCAGCCGGGTGCAAGCGTTTCAACACCAAGCCATGGCATAACACCTGTATAACATAATAATACTATATATCCTTGCTACTGTACCACTTACTTATCAAAAGATGCTTTGACACGAAGTTGATAATTCAATTCCTGAAGCTTAACCAGTAGCCTAGAAGAACAGAAGAAAAAGTACACATTTTAAAGAACATAGTAAATGGAGAATTGTATGTACTATATGGTCATTATAGGAGAAGAAAAAATTCTAAAAATCACATAGAGAATTCTGATGTTTACAGATTACTTTCTCAAAAAAACAAACATTAGCATAAAAATAGCAGTAGCATAAAATACCTCAATACATATTTTATTGGGGATTATACATAATTTATAATCCCAAATAAAATATTTATTGAGGCATTTTATGCTCTTTTATAACCTATTTTACACTCATACAATATTTTATTTTATAACATTCTATAACCACACCTGAAGAAGGCTTCAAAGCCGGAACATTGGGTTTTCTCACTTCTATTATCAGCATGGAATACACCTATCACTTGTTCCCATACATAACTTACGTCTGGCCAATGGCAAAATTACTGATGCTAAATTTTATTGCTTAAATATGAAACATTCAAGCATGTTACAGGAGTCCTACTACAGTATTAGCATAGGGAAACTGACCTTAATTTCACAGTAAATTGCACTCCTGTCTTCAGCACCAGTGGTCTCTGTGGGTGAGTTGGCATGCAGGGCTGTCGTTCCACTACAAAAGAACTAAAATGTACAATAGCAGAGCAATCACTGTCATTAACCATCAGCATCATAATTTTAATAAAAATCAAAATATTCTATCTGTAGGCTCTTTCACCTGCAAATTTTACAAAAAGACAATTAACAGTTTCAGTACTCTGAAATATTATGCCATAAAACTGAAACAAATACATGGAATTCTGAATACCGCCCTTGTCTAACACTACAGGAGAACAAGGAAGTCAACAGAAAAAGATTTAGTGGAACTCATCTTTTAAATTTTAAGACACTATGAAACTTTTGAAACCAAGAGATCAAAGTACAACACAATAGGGACAATGTTTTTCAACTCTTTAAATTGGTAAAACGATGATTCCTATTGTTTTTATGTTTATGTAACCTGTGCTTTTTTCTTCTGTTGTGCTGATTAGCTCGCCAAACTTCTCCCACCTGGCTCTTTTCTCCCTCTCTATTTTTATCTCACTGTTCTGGAGTTGTGTCCTGATCTGCTCTAATCAGAGGTTGCCATTATGTATTTTTCTTTGTAATACACTGTTGTCCGTTTGCTTACGTTTTCTCCCGCTTTGCCTTGTGAAACAACCAATTGGGGCTTAAATATGGTAAAACGCCAGTTTTAAACTTTAAAATCACTTTAATTTAAGATACAAATGATCGGTGTTCTGCAAAATTTTGCTTTTGGTCATGTATCAACCCATACCCACCCAACCTGATCTAAAATCTTTTTTAACCCACAGCTGCGAGTCAACCCTAACTAGTTGTCATGATTCTGTGGTTACACTGTTTACGTTTTGAAATGTGAGTGTGGATCGACCGTTGCACTTATTTTTGTTCATACCATTTTATTCTTACTTTTGAATATCTTACTTAGAGTATGAAAGTTTAAAGTGTAATTTAAAGCAGCAGTCAAAGCAGAAGGGTTATTATGGATCACTGGCTTAAATCTGGGACTCTGAAACAAAAATATAGCAAAGATAGTGACAGCGCATGTGCAAGTAAGATGCAGAATAAAAGTGAAAATGCGAGTGAGGTAATTTGTGAACCATACCAGCAATGCTATAATTTTAATTCCAACAGCTTGATAAATGTGATGTGCAAGGAAGCAGAAGGTGTGCTTGATGTCACATCTTTGTCTGCTTCTGGGCAGGATAAAGATGACAAAGAAAGCATTAGCAAAGCTGCGGAAAAAAATAGTGCTACTTGCAAAAATCATCATCTTGGAAACAAAAACTGCAAGATTAAAGTGAAAAGAAAGTAAAACAGTGACTACTTGAGAATGGGATTTCTTTGGACAGCTGATAAAGAAGATCCCAATCCTCACCGTGTTTTATGTTACAAATCTTTGACCGATTAAGCAATGAAGCCCTCAAAGCTTCAACGACATTTTGAATCCAAATACAGCCAATACATTGGAAAACCTCTTCAGTTCTTTGAGAACAAATGCAAAGAGTTGATACAGAATAAGAAATCATGCATTTTAATGCTTCTGATGGAGAAAACACTAACGCTACAGATGCTTACTACGTGTTGTTGCTGTTGGTAGCACGGACTGGGAAAGATCATTCAGTAGCAGAGAAATTGATAAAGCCCGCTGCCAAAATAATGGAAAATTTAATGTTGGGGGAAAAGGCAAAAAATTAGATCGACAAGGTACCCCTTTCGAATGATAACGTTCAACATCGAATAGCAGCCATGGCTTGCATCAAAGTCAGTACTTCGCGTTTCAGCTGGATGAATTTACCGATACAGTGGGCAATTCTCACCTACTGGCTTATGTTAGGTATGAGTATTTAGAAGGAGTACATGATGAATTTCTTTTTTGCCAATGTCTGTCAACCAACACAAGCGGTGAGGCCATTTTTGAATTGCTAAACAATTTCATTGTAAGTAATAAAGTTGACTGGACATGATGTGTCAGTATTAGTACTGAAAGCGCTGCACTGATGACTGGTAGGATGAAAGGCCTAACTACACGTATCAGAAAAGTTGCACCATTGGCAGTAGCAAAACATTGTTGGATTCATCGTGAACAACTGGCTGCAAAACAATATGCCAGGTGAACTTAAAACCGTTCTGGACGAGGCTGTAAAAACTGCAAACTTTATCAAAGTTATACAGCCAGCGCCTACACTGGAAGAAGAAATCGAGCGACTGTTTACTTGGCAGATGGGGTGGCCCTGGGAAAGACCACTCCTCGAAACCGCAATATAAGGAGAAATTACAGAGTTTCAGAAGACCCTCCTCGCAAGATTGAAGAAAATGGATACAGTGAGTTGTTGAAAGTTGGTCGGGATTTAATAGTTTAGGGGGTTTTTTTAATAAGTTTCCTGCAATGTTTTAAGAGAATTTGTAAATGTGGGACAGATACCTGGTGATTACGAATACAGTGACTTTTTATTTTTCTGGCTACTCTTTTTTTTTTCTTTTTATAATATAAGTTTGGATTTGTCATCGCGCCACCTGCTTAAGGGCCCTCCTCCAGAGGAGAAGGAGGACTTCCCTAACGAGCTTTCCTTTTTTTTTAAAGAAAAAAAGGGAAGCCCACACAGGGTCCGTTTGAAAAGAACCCCACAGTTGGAAGAAAGTACTGTGAACGAGACGGAGATGGATACAGTTTTGTTTAAGATTGTCTGGTTAATGTTTTTGTTTACTGTGTTTTTGTTTGTGGTACATTATTAGGAAAAAATGATGGGAAGACAATGTTTAACAATATGAAACATATGTTGTATGGGAGAGATTTTGAACGTTTTACCATTTACATAAAATATGTCCAAGCAAGACCTTAAAATAGTTACATTTAATGTTAATGGAGTACTTAATACTATAAAGAGAAGTAAACTGATATCCCAAAAGGCTCAACTTGAGTTGCTTACAGAAGTTAAAGATAAGGAGGGGAGGTTTGTATTAGTATTGGGGAAAAATGAAAGGGGAATTACTAACATGACTTAATGTATATGCTCTACCTGGTAGTGATTTTAATTTTTACTAAAAAATGGTCGATTTGGTTAATGCACAAGGGATACTGATTTGTGGAGGTGATTGGAATGTGCGTCTTAACCCCAGGCTTGATTCTACAAATACATCTTCTCAGAGATATAAGTCACTGTATAAAAAGATTAATGTACTAATGGGGGAAATGGGAATAATAGATCTTTGGAGAGATTTCTATCCAAGTGGGCGGGATTACACTCATTATTCCTTCCCTCATTCAGTATATTCAAGGATTGATTATTTTTTTATACACAAGAGAGAGAGACATAGGATTCAAGAGTGCAATATTGGTAGAATTGATTTTTCAGACCATGCTCCTATGTCATTGTCCTTACGATAAAGTAATAATTGAGGAGATACAACATGGATGAACTCAAGTCTGTTGAATGATCCACAATGTAAAGAACAGATAAAACAAGAAATAAAAATATTTTTGGAGGAGAATGATCATGGGGAAGTGGGATCAGAGATGATATGGGACACATTAAAGGTAGTTATAAGGGGGAAAATTACTGCTTTGAGCAGTCATAAGAAGAAGGTAAAGCAGTTACAATTATCTAATCTGAATATAAAGTTAAAAGAGTTTGAGAAAAAAAAAATCAAGAAAAACAGGATTCAAAAATCCTGCAAGAAATAAAGAAGCTTAGAAACAAAATAGATGTCTTATATACACAGGAAATTGAAAATATATATATATATTTACTGGACAAAAATATTATGAATCAGGGTCAAAATCACAAAAGTTGTTGGCAAGAAAATAAAAAAAAACAACAGCCTGATAGTACAATATATAAAAAAGGGACCAGAACTATAATGGTGTATTATATAAATGGGAAGAAATTCAAAACACTTTTACAAATTATAACAGAAAATTATATACACAACCCCATTCAGAAAGTGAAGAAAAGATGGATACTTTTCTGGAATCTCTCAGTTTATCAACTCTTACGGAAGATCAAAAAACCTCTATAAATATATCTCTATAAAATAAATGGTTATTTATCTGATAGAAGAACGAGGGACTAGACAAGGCTGTCCTTTATCTCCATTGCTTTTTGCTCTATATATAGACCCGCCAGCCCAGTGGATACTACAAAATAACAAAATAAAACGTATTTCTAAACAAGGGAATGAGCACAAGATAGCACTGTACGCAGATTACGTTTTATTATATCTGGAGGATCCCACTTGTTCATTTCTAGAAGTAATGCAACTCTTAGATAGCTTTGGCTTGCTAGCAGGCTATAAGTAAAATTTTCAAAAAACACCAATTCTAACTTTTAATTACAACCCTCCCAATTTATTAAAAGGCAAATACCACCTTAAGTGGGACCAAAGTTCAATGAGATATCTAGGAGTCTATTTACCAAAAGATATTTCGGTATTAGCAACAATTAATTATGGACCCCTTATAACTAAAATTAAAGCAGATATATTGAAATGGAACCTAATCCCATTTATGAGTTTCAGTTCTAGAATTGAATCTGTAAAACTGAATCTACTGCCTCGATCACTCTTCTTATTTCAAGCTCCCCTTGTAAAAGACTGTGCAAAACAATTTTCAGAATGGGATAAGATGATTTCTCGGTTTATTTGGCAGGAGAGAAAACCTTGAATTAGATTCAAAACATTGCAACTTTCAAAAGATAAAGGGGGTATGGCTTTACCAAATTTGAAAGATTATTATTATGCATCTCAATTTAAACATCTCATTAATTCCTGTAATCCAGAATATCAAGCCAGATGGAAAGATATTGAATTATCCCTTGTAAATAGCCCCCCAATTCAGGCACTATTAGGTAATAGGAATTTAGACAAAATTACTGAAAAAATATTCAATCCGTGAATAAAGTTTCAATTATCCCTCGGGAGGGAGAACAGAATACCTCCTGGGTATCCCTGCCTGTCGTAAGAGGCGACTAAAAGGGTTGTGTCAGGAAGGGCATCCAACGTAAAACAATCTTGCCAAAACCATGGTTGCAAAGAACACAAAGCACATACCGGATCGGCCGGGG